CTTACAATTTATGGCTACTAATGGTTTTCAAAATCGAAACATATCTGACATCTTGTCAATGGCAGATCTTCCAAATTGGAAGCAATTGCCACAAATCTATTGAAAAGGGCATCTGACAAATATTTATTTGAAGCATGACTTAGCTCCTTAAGTTTGACAAGAGTGTTCCTAAGCAGAATAACATCAGATTTCTGCTCCAGAACCCTTCCTGGCTTTAAAAGATCAGGACAAGCACTCACATTGAGAGTTTCCAAATGTGAGCACTTTAATAAAATATCTTCGAAGGTCTTTTCTGATATATCACAACTATCTATGGAAAGAAACTGCATTTGTGGACAGAATCTATCCCAAAATTTGGTTAATTTTCCTCCTAGTTCTACATTTTTGAACACAAAATTCAGAAATGTTCCAAGACTATTTTCGAAGACTTGTAGTGGTCTAGTAAGGTCATCTTGCAATACCACTACTTTATTGCTATGCAGTTCGAGGTATTTTGATGCCATATGCCACAAATGGTACACTTGCGCGGCACTTATTCTGTGTGACAAAGGCAGGAACTCCAGGATGTATATTATAATTTGGAATATGAAAACATATAACATTAAACATTTAAAATATAACAAGGCAACGAAAAAAATTTGTTTTAGTAGAATGTTTTTAAGAGGTGACCACATAAGCTTCAACTTTTAAAAACGAAAAATTAAAGCACATGTCACAATAAAATATTCAAGATCATACACTACATAATCTTATGCATAACTGATTAGATGCCACTGCAGATGTTGAGAATCCTTACCTCAATGGGAAGTTTAACAAATTCATCGCTTTCAGTACTCCGTTGTCTACTTTCACTTGAGATTGTTATGACAGACTGCATGTCAGATTGCTGTGTGTGTGTGTGTGTAATGTCTGTAATTAATGCAATTATCATGAATACTTTTTTGAAGACCTTCAACGTAGGCGTTTCCTGCTACCAGCTGATTTATCTGGTTGCACATTACATATGTGGTTTAGTTTAGCTTTAGTAGCAGTGTGTATAAGCGGTCACAGTTGACAGTTTCTTATAGGTGCCATGCAACTGTGACAGGGATTTAAAACCTTCAGACCTCAAGAATATAAGAAATAACAATACTTCTCCTCTCTGTTTACTTCAGTCGGTTAGCTTAACGACAGATTCATGTCACTACAGGTTTCACTGATAATTCATACCACTAAGGTTTTCGATGAAGTGACTAATATCCTTGTTTATTTAACACAGCACTACATAGCCTACTTTGAACCATAAGAAGCAAAATAATATATCAGGCTGTCATGGAGGTAAATAGATAAATTTGCTATCTTCTGGAGTGTTGCATCATGTATTCTGTTAGAAATTCACTGAAGTTTCAGAGGCAGTAAGCACCTCAGAAATGTTAATCAATTTATACCAGACTATATGGTGAAATATCCCTATTAAAGCAATCTCTATAAGAAGTAAGCTTCAATAACTCTCACCTCTGTAAGAATGGGAAGACAACAGAATCATCAGAAAAGTTGTCCTTTCCTTTGTTATAAATTCAATTACTTAAATTTTTCCATGACCTTTTTTTTTGTATTCTCAGTGGATCTGGCTTCTTTTCCTGAAAACAAAAAATTCTAATATTATTTCCTGGTTGGGGGCTCATATCTCAAAGTGAAATGCTTTATGCAAAAATAAAACCCCCAAAGTAGAGAAAAATGTACCTCCCTGCGCATTTAATCATGTGGTGAATAAAACAATATAGTGAAAAAGCCAGCTAAGAAATGCGGCCTATGCAATTTATGTGACTTTAATACCTATAGCATGCATTAGTTTCTACTGTTTGATGAAGACCTCGTCAATCTACCGAGATCTCTACATCTATGTGTTATGTAAAAATGGTGACTAGATGGCAGGAGAATACTTCCACAGTTTCTAATGTTCGCTTTGGTTTTCTCTTTCGTATATCATTGACGATTGTATGCTCTGCGCCGAGAGTAGTCACGAAGGGAATGGAAGCATTTTCGGTTTCAAATTAACAGGTGAAAATAAGGTAATTAATTTGATTTTAAATGCTCTCCTACGTTGACTTTTGGTGTGTCGTGGCTTGATTCTATGATGTTCCTTGTTTTCGTTCAGATATGCCATAAATTAATAGCTTCAAATTAGATAATTATAGGTTATTGGTTACTTCATAAATGATGTCTGCTAGATTGAACAAGAGGATTAAAGCCAATAAACTCATTAAATTTTGTCAAAAGAAATTTCACGAAATTTTAAAGTAACAGCAGAACTTGTGTAAATCTAAATATAGGGTATGATGATAAAATAATCGAAATAGAAGAAACTAAATTTATTGGCCTGACCGAAAAAAATATTCAATACATTATCCCAAAACTAAGCTCGGCATGTTTTGCTACGAGGACAATTGCAGCACTCATGAAAACAGAAACTTTAAAATTAGTTTATTTTGCTTGCTACCATTCCATCGTGTCATACGAAATAATTTTCTGGGCAATATCAATGAACAGCAAAAAAGTATATTACATTGAAAAGAGAATACTTAGAATAATGGCAGGCACTTAAAGGAGAACCTCTTGTAGGGAATTATTTAAGAAGTTTTAATATTCTTCCACTACCCAGTAATTGTTTAAGCCAGAGTTAAAAGAGTATCTCCTATCTCACTCCTACTCAGTAGAAGAATTTACATCACTTAAAAAGTCTTAACTATTATAAATGCATGTAAGCAACAATGGTGATGGTTTTTCATCATAATTATTTTGCTGTAATACTGTAGTTTCAAAAACTGTAAATAGCTGTAATAATATCTTTGTATTTATATTTGTATTTGTGCTATGACCTGTTCTACATCCTTGGCTGAGGTCTATAAAGGATCTGTGGAATGTAAATAAATTCTATTCTGTTCTACTTTGAATTCATACTGCAGTTTCTTGTATATTTGGTAAAGATACTTTGTTGAGGTTTGTATGATACTCATAGATACATTTCTTACGTATATGCCCTTTTCTTCGCATGGATCATCACTTGTGATTATTCTGTTCTCTTCTATTTTAATCCATTCCCTCACCTCTGGTTAATCGGATCCATTTTATAGCAATTATGATAGTGCAGTTTATATGGTCACATGTGGAGCAACTTAACCTATTTCATCCCATATATATATGCACACACTCTCTCTATCTTGTGTGTGTGTGTGTTATATACATATATTGAGAGAGAGACTGATGAACCAGTTTGCATTTGTACTTAGTTCGTTACTGTTCACCTGGAAGCAAAGTTTTCAAATATAAAATGTTGAAAACCAGATGTTAAAACTTACAATCCTACAACCACTAACAGAAGGTCAGTAACAACAGAGAACCCAGGAAATTGTGAAGCGTCTTGTCTGTGCAGTGTATGGATTGCCTGGAATCAAATCAGAAATGGTCATTGGTCTGTTTCATGAATCATCATGTGCAGGCATTGCTTATGTATTGCCAAGTAAGATGTGGCAGCCTGAATTTTACAGTTTGCATAGAAAGATACATGGAAGTTGTAGTTACCTACTTTAAATTTGAATACTCCTGGAAATAAAAAAAATAAAGTGATAAAAGCTATCTCCAAATATGGCTTGAACCTAATAACTTCAAAATGTGAGCATTACTTCACGTAGTAACCAAATATTCATTGGGGATTAACTAGAGTACTCCGAACAGGAGTTTTATAAGTTTAGAGTAGGGAAGGTACATGACCACTTCTTTGTTCAGATAGATTTTAGTGACACAGAACACTTTGTTTTAGGTCATTGCATTTTGTGTTGTAACCAGGAAGCTATGATTTGAATAGATGTATGATACTAACGTTACAGTGGGGCTTTGCCACCCAGGTCCTTCCCCAGCATACTGGCTTTGTTAGGGCCTATTCCCAGGTAACAGCTCTAGGTTTGCCCCATTGAGAACCAGGCCTGGTCACTCGTGTTTCCGTGATCCTGGTTGGAGCATGAGTACAAGAATGACCTGTCATTTTTAAACATGTAGTTCAACAAAATGATGGGACAAATCATCACATAACAGTGGCCTTGGATCACATTTGAACATCAGTGTACAGCAAAGAATATACCATTCCAAACATTACTTTAAGTTTGCGTGTTAAGATAAATAGTGGCTTACCTGTGAACTCCAGAACAGTGGGTGAGAGACTGTCAGGTGGAATGCGTGGGTATATTAAGCTTGAAAATTGTAAAAACAAGGTCAGGTAAGTTGATGCCATCATATGAGTGATTGTATTGACTTAAGCCAAGGAAACAAATAAAAGAGTAAATCATATCTCCTTTCAACTTGGCATAATAGTGAGAATTTGCGGATGACAAACCACAATTCCAATCAAAACCAGGGACATTAAAGTCTCCAAGTAACAAGATGCGATAATTGAAAGTATCTAAGGATTTTACCAAAAATCTAAAATAATTATTTAACTTGTCAACCTTTGTGTCGGGCGAAAAATAGTGATTACCAATAAGTAAATTATGCCCATCACACATTGCGATCTCCACCCATACAATTTCTTCACAAAATTCGAGATCGACTCGACGCTTCACTCCCATAACAGTCAGAGATAGCGATTAATGCGCCGCCGCCACGTAAAATGGAGCCATAGACTCTGTCGGCACGATGAACTATGTAAGTTTCAGGAAACAAATTATGGGTAGCAAATGAATCGTTTAACCAGGTTTCGGTTAGGCAAATAATTTTAAATCCAGAAGAGCACACATTATCTAAACTACAGATGATTTAGTCCTGAGCCACGCAAATTTTGATAAAAAATATCAAGATCACCGTCACAAGGCATGGCTCTACTGATACCCCAATGAGAGATGGTCAACTAAACAGGGAGAAGCGCCTCCTCCACACAACATCAGAGGGCGCTGCATCCAGAGGCAAAACCCGTGAACTAGCTACAGAAAGGACGGGGTCATCCGGGGAATAAATTTGGTTGGAGTTGAGCCTCCCAAAAAACGGAGCAATTAAGCCACACCCCGATATTATTAATTAAAGGAAAGTCTTCCTCATTTACAGAAACACAAAAAGAGGCATAAGACGTAAATTTGGTCTTAAGCCTGGTACAAACCAGTAAAGTTATATTAAGTTGTTCCAGAAGAGATTTTTCAACATCTTTTTCGGAGACGTCCGGAGAAAAACGAGAAACAAAAAGTGATTTAGTTCGGGGTCTTTTGGCAATGATGGGGAGGGTGAAACGCTTCTAACCCCAATCAAAGGGACCCTATTTCTACGCAGTGGCTGCGTAACATTGGTGGGGGCTTCTTTCCCGGACAATGCCTTCTTCTTTTTGCCAACCACTGTCACAAATTCATAGTAGGAACAGCAACATCAGCATTCTTCCAGGCAGTAGACTTAACAGGAAAGGTGCTGATGTCAGAAACACTAGCAGACACGGAATGTTGAACAGGCAAACGGGCGACAGCCACTTCACTGTAGCACTCTGCTGCTGAGGGCAATGACCTAACAGGTGTTCTATCTGATGGCCCCTTTAGGTCCATAATCTTTCTTCTCATATCCAAATTTTCGCTTTTAAGTAGAGTGACCTCCTCAGACAGTTTACCCACCATGTCTACAAGAATCTGTAGCATATCAATGGTGGTTTGCCTGTTAAGACGGACCGTCTCAAGTTGAACACTGAGTGTATCAATACTATTATTATCTGGGCAAGGTAGTACAGGCTGCCTCTCAGGAGAAATGATCTTCTTCGTTGAGTCAGACAGCGACACGGACCGTTGTGTAACAGGCGTGTCGTCTGTCCTTGTAGATTTCCCTGTACTGGTACAATTTGAGCACTTATAAGATGATTTTCCCGAAGCCATGTAAAGAGCTATCTCAGCTTCACCAATTTTAAGACAGGAGCAGTGAAAACGAATTTCACAGTCCCCACATCTTAAGCTCTTCTGTTTTCCGTAAAACGACTTCTGGCACAAAGAACACAAGTCCTCATTCTGCTGGCTTTATTAAACATAATCCTTATTGCGATGATCCGCTGAAAACTATTTCCAGTGTCTTTCTTAAAAATTCTGATTAAAAAAATTGTTTGAATTGCTTGCATCAAGAGAATCGGATTAATAAAACTCTTTTTTTGGTTTTGCAGAATTTTAGCCGGAAGTCTGCCTCGTCTCCGTGTCCTGCTCTCGATTATGGATTGGCTAGATTTGTGACTCTACAGAAATCCTGTCTTAAGCAATTTTTAGCGTTCCCCACGAAGTTTTTGTTACGTTGTGATTGTGAACGACAACTTGAATATTGTTTATTATTAATTAAATGCTGTACTACATTACGTTTTCCCAAATCTTCGAGAATGATTAGCATCAGTGATGCGCATACACACACTTAATCTTTTAAAATCGAGTGGTGTCTGTAAGTACCATCTCCTTTAATAACCAGTAACGATGTATTTTAAGTATTTGTGTTTTGCATGATTCTCATTGTAGCGATTATCTCCTTAACATTAACTAGGTCATCGTTGTAATGGTAATGTGTTGTGTTGCGTACTGATTTGTTACATATTATTTAGATCTCTGTCTGTACAGGATTGAATGATTTGATGAATCGACCTTATTCAAAGAATGAATAATAATTCAGTCCTTACCTCAAAGACAAACAGAACACTTCACCATTACAAAGGTCAAAATTGTAATACCGTTTAAGGAAACAATGTGTTAATTACAAGTAACTATGTAATCTCAGATTCTTTGATTTATGTAAAAAGAGCCTTAAGAGTTGTAAAAAATGTATTGGTCAGTTGGCCTTTGAGGTTATCCCCAGAAACGTCTCGGAAGACTCACTTCTACTGTTTCTGTTTCTATTTTCCACTTTATTCAGTTCTCAACTGTAGAAGCGTGCAAGTAGCGGCATCATGTCATGAAACTTAAGCGCTGTATACTTTCTAGTGTGGCCTGATTAAAATTATCATTCTATCAAGATTTACTTGTATATACAAATTTGGAAAGCATTCTGTTTATTTGTAATGTTCGCAACATTGCACTGTGTATACGAGTATTCTCTTGTTGAGTAAGAAATTAAGTAATGAAAAATATTCATAATAATAATGGGATCCAAACAGTAGTAATGAAACTGGGTTTCTAGTACATACTGTGATCAGGCTGGAAAACACTTCAAACAGGATGGCTACTAGCGTCATAATTTTTTTTCTTCTGCACTGCCTTGTGTGAGCAACAGTAAGTGTAGGTTGAAGAGATAAGTTCTTTTACCTTTCTCTTTCATACCTGTTGCTGAAATAAAGAAAATGATACTTAATTTCCAAAGGATTTTCGAATTGGAATAATTCTATCATCACCAGATTCTTAGGTCCTCAGAAACTGAGTGCTTTTGACTGTAAGTAAGCCATGTTTTGTGATTTTGTATTGCAACCTTGTCAGGTGTCACCCGAGAGATTCCTTTTGTCTTCATCTGTTGTAAGATGATGTTCAAAATATGTGAATATCTTTGACCACCTAATTTGATCTGGAAAATTAAAAACATGAGTCTCATTTGTCAACTCCAGAGCAACATATCTTTGTGACAGCCCTGAAAGTCTTATAAACCAGAAGCTAGCAGTTATTTTGGTTTTCAGACCAGGAAACCTTACCATTCTTTGTTTGGTCTTAATATCATGGACTGAAAGAATTCTGGCATCTTTGCTAACTGCAATAAGAGAAACCGCCTTGTCCATTCTCTGTGCATCAGGAGGCATGTCTACAATGAGGTTCATCTGATTCATTGAGCATTCAATCTGAAATTAATTAAAACTGTCTTAAGGTTCCAGGATTAGAGAAATGTTTTGTGTTCAGAACACACATTTAGAAATTTGTTCTTATCAAAGAGAGAGAGAAAAAAGATATATATAGATTTCTTGATGACACTGATAATGGTGGTGATGAACTATGAGCCCCAATTATTTAAAAGATATTGACTCTCTTAAAATTTGACTCACAAACTCAGCACATTAACTTGAAGGCTAATTTGATTTCCATTGCTGGATTATAAATCAGTATTTACCTTATTATAAACTGAACACAGGACACATAGGACAGAAGTCTAGCTTACAGTAGAGAAGTAGAATTTGTGAGTCGGCCTGGAACTATTCTTTTACTCTAGAATTGCAAAAAATTCAAAATTGGCAGAGAATGCATTTTGTGAATTTGAAATTGGATATCTCATTTCCATTTGCTGAAAATGTTCTGATCGTCGAGAACAGGTGAAACATTTCGTGCACTCTCATATGCCACTGCCTCTGCCTTTACCCAGCTGCAACCCTTGGACGTTCGTCCTCCGGTTCGTCATACAACCTTACAAGTTTTGCTTCTTCTGTTTGCAGACTTGGCTTAATGTGGAAGGCAATGGAAGGAGTGCAGAAGATCGAGTATTTTACCCTCGCCCGTCAGGCGGACGCCGAGCACAAGAAGAAATATCCCGGTAGGTAATTAATTCTCTTTTAATGCCAACAAGCAGCAGAAAGATTCCAAAAAATGCACCCGAGAATTCTGAGAAACATCAGCGATTTTGATTTATTTGGGATTGACTGCTAGCGATTTTAATAAGAGAACTTTTGAAGAGTATTTATTTTCTCCAAAACCTTTTCATCTACTTACGAGTCAATGCAGCAGATATTATAATATTAAAATGGGAGGAACTTAAACATTTAATTTTGCAATTAGACACGATCAAAGACATTGTATTGTTCCTGTCTTTCGGTAATAAAAGACGCCAAATCACGCGATCAGAAACAACCGTTTACGGAATGCTGTGACCTGAATGTCAGTCTTTCCGTTTTCAGATTATGTCTACAACCCAAAAGAGGTCCGCAGACAAAAGCGCCTTCGAGAGCAGGCCCGTGGTAAAAAATTGAGACGCCTCACGACGGCGCAGACCAGCAGCGCCCGTCCGATGCCTGCCGAAGAACATCAAAGAGAAGGAAGATTCCGAGGCACACAAGTTGTCGCTTTGTCAGAGGTAAGTCGTCGTCATACTCTCTGGACGAAGTCACTCGCCTGCCATCTGTCGCTTGCACATGGAAAACAAACAAGTGTGGAAAGTCAGTGGCGAAAGATGACTAGAGTAAACT